CTTATACCTAACTCAGAAACTACAACTAGTACAAAATATGACAGCCAGACTGATCACCAGAACATCGAGGAGAGATCATATTACACCTATTTTGAAATCCCTCCACTGGCTGCCTGTTGGTTTCCAAGCACAGTATATAAGGTGTTGGTGATGACCTTTAAAGCCTTACATGGCCTGGGTCCAACCTACCTAGGGGATCACATTGAAGCAACTTCCTCCCAGAGGACCTGTGCCCTCAGGTCTTCTGGGAGGAAGCTGCTTCAACTGACAAAAACTAGGGTGGTGGCAACCTCCCAGAGGACATTTTCCGCTACCGTGCCCAGACTCTGGAATACCTTGCCGGAGGAGAGCTGTCAGATAACCAACTTAGATGGCTTTAAAAAAGCCATCAAGATGGATCTCTTCCGGCAGGCCTACCCAGAATAAAACTACTCACTTATCTTAACCTCTCCCCATTAGACATTCTCTTATATCCGTGCCTTACCCAGAGAATTTACTGAAAGTTATTGTTTTAATTTGTTTATTGTTTAATTTTAGTTTTTAACTAAATTCATTTTTAAGGGGGGTTAATAGTGTTAGTTTATTGCTTTGTTACCTATTGTAGGAATTGTTTTATATATTGATTTTAGATGTAAGCCGCCTTGATGGTTACGGCTAAAGGCGGGGTATGAATTATTATTATTATTATTATTATTATTATTATTATTATTATTATTATTAAGAATTTTGTGGTACCTTAAAGACAAAATTTTACTATGGCATGCATTTGCATGGATTACAGTGGGCTGTACTCCATTTGACCTCATGCAGACCTTAGAAAAGTTATTTGGCATTACTATAACATGCAGAATTTGACATACTATCTCGTGGAATCTGGAACTTGTAGTCCAAGAAAAAAAACTTTCCACATGCAGAGTTTATACCATACCAAAATGTGTTAGTCTTTAAGGTTTCAGTTTTTTTTAGCAATGAATAAGACAGCCAAGTCTTAGGAGATTATTGCACAGCCCCCCCCCCCCCCCCCCACCGATCTGGGCACGGGTTGTGACCATGTATAAATGGATGTTATCGCACAGCTCCATGCCCAGGTTGGAAGCATCCCATATCCAATCAGGGCTTCTTCCACACTTAGATCCTTTCTCTTCATAAGGATGACCAAACATGTTTATAACATAATCAAGTAACTGCTGATACTAATTCTTCTGGCGGTATTGTTTTTGGCAAGAATACTAAATATATCAAAACTGTTTTTACTCATCTAGCAGATGTCAATGAATGTGGATTGTGGAACCATGGCTGTACTTTAGGCCGTGTCAATGTCCCAGGATCCTATTATTGTACATGTCCAAGAAATTTTGTTCTGCTATCTGATAAGAAAACTTGTTATGGTAGGTAACAGTCAGACAAAAACATTTCGTTCCTGCTTCTTAAATCACTTTCTATATACACAGAAATTGTATTGGTCACTCTGTTGACCACTTTCTCAAGAACCTTTCTCAGGAACATTATTTAGATGGCAGAATTGGTCATTGAAACAAGGGTGTGCAATGTCTCAATCCTCCCAAAAAACAAAAAAATTAGGCTGGGAGGCTGAGGTCCTCTGAAAGGACTAGGCAAAAGTGGACCACCATTAGTTTAAATCATTCAGGAATTATCAATCAGAAATGTACTAAATGATCATTATTTTGCTGTTGCTTTCATGGTACTCTAATTTTACCAGCTTCAGTTGGATGGTGGTGGTGATTATGGTGGTAGTGATGACAATTGTCTTTTAATGCAACTTTTCTGGGTTTTCATTGTTTTGTAAAAGCATGCCTGAAGAAAGTCAAAATTAATAGTGATTTACATTGCCAGTGTTGAGCCCGTTCCACCTTAATAACAGTTCTGGGGTCCCTGGAGGTTGCTGTCTTTTTTTGCTTCTGAAATTCTATTAATATGAAGTAGTTGTTCATTGGGTAACAAGGTTGAATTAGTAGCCTATTCTGAATACTGAGAATATGTAATAGAATTCTCTCTCTGCATCCTCCACAGATTCACATATCACAGTGGTTTTGTTGATTTATGTATTCAGTTTGTTTGTGTCCAAAAATCATAGCCTGTTTTCCTTTTAAGAAGGAAATTCATTTGAATTAAATCAAACCTGTTTCTACCCAAATGTCTTTGGTTTGGCTTGACACTGAACTAAAAGTACAGTAGTCTCAATCCATATCAGGGTCCCATGGGCTTTACTTACCTGTGAGTGAACACTTTAATCAATGCAGCCCCATAAGACTAAACATTCATCCTGAACTTTATAGACTTAAATGCTACAGTAGATTTCTAGCTTCAGAGCAGTTTGCTTAACATTAAAAAACATATCTGGGGTAGACATGTTAGCCAGGTAGCAAAGTACAATAACAACCAAACCCCACAGAACAGTGACACTTTTATGGGGTCAAGCAAAGTGCACAAAATACATGTTGCAAGCTTTCAAAAGTTCTACTGGCTTCTTCATCAAGCAAAGATGTTAAATATCGTACAGGGAAAAAAAAATTATGACGATGTTAGTCAAAAGCCTGTATTTTGTCAAAAATGTAGCTGTTCTCAGTTCTGATAGAGTGGAGGGACATTCATTCAGGCAGGTCCTTCCTCCTCCTGACCATGTGTTTTGTCCAGGACAAAACACATGGTCATCCAGGACAAAAAATGTAAATTCTATTAGTTAATTGAATGCTAATATTAATGGAATATCCGCTCCGTTCTCCTGTATGATTTTTAACACCTTTGCCTGATAAAGAAGCCATAAATATATTTGGTATATTTTATACATTTTGTTTGGCCCAACAAAGGCATCACTGTTTTGTGGATTTTGGATGTTATTGTATTAAAAGAATGTGTTTGGCTGTAAGATAAAACTCACCAATGGCTTTGCTGTTCTAAGCAATGTACAATCCAAACTTGAAATGAATGAACTGGACATGAAGGACAGAACAGCATGGCAGCTATTCCAGTTGTATTGATTCTCCTCTGCAGGGTGTGAAAACAAACTGGATTTACTATTATTGTAAAGTTTAGATTTCAGTCCTTTAAATACCTATTTGAGAATTAAGCTTATCGCACGGCACTTTGAAGAACGGGAACGGAACGGAACGCAAGGGAATGGAACAGAGCAAAAACGCATTTTACTGCATGGGAGACCGCCACTGATGCCGCCGGGAGTCCCCAATCCTTTCCCTAGCCGTTCATGGCAGCCAATTTTTGAAGGACTAATTGTCCTTCAAAAATTGGCTGCCAGGAACGGCTGGGAACAGATCGGGGACTCCCGGCGGCATCGGTGGCATTCTTCCATGCAGTAAAATGCATTTTTGCTCCGTTATGTTCCCTTGCATTTTGTTCTGTTCCTGTTTCTCAAATGATGTGCAATAAGCTTATAGATTTCCTACCACACTCACTGGTACTTACTTCTGACTAAAGAACTGCATAATCAAGGCTCTTGACCTAATTGTCATTGTTATGTATGGTTAAAGGCAATACTTTCCATGAATTCCAGGAAACAGCTGTGGGCAACCCCACATTTGTTCCAGTCTTATTGCCCATTTCAGCAGCTGCCTCCATATGGCAGTTTGGGTGCTGAAAGAAAACAAACAGCATGCCATATATTATAGAAGGAGCAGAGTCTGGGAAAAGTTATTTTTTGACTACAACTTCCTGAATCCCTCAGCCACCATTGCAACTATTCTCAGCCACCATTGCAACAGGCCATTCTAATAGGGGGCTTCTGAGAGTTGTAATTCGAAAGTCACTTTTCCCAAACTTTAGGAAGAAGAGTATCCGTCTCCTACCTAACTGCTGGGGGGAAAAAATGGATAGAGGCTGTTCACAGCGACATCCCCAAGGAAAGTGAAAATGGGCAGCAGCTTTATTAATCCATCTCAAAAAACTAGTTCTAGCATTTTTCATTTTCACTGGATGCAGACCTTTTGTCTTTAGTTAGTGCTTTGGCATGGAGTCTGTT